GTGCTGTCGACAGCAGTGAGCTTGCCCACACAGCCCAGCCGGACTCGGAGCAGGGAGCAGCCATGCAGTCAGCCGCACGGAGCTCTGTTATCTCGAAATTAATTTCTCTGTGGTTCTGCTGACACCTTCTGATTATGCTGTTCTCCCAGTAAAATAAAGGGTGTGCTGAAATCAATTTCCCACCCCCTACTCCACTGCAGATAGAAGACAAAAGTTATATTGCTAATTAAAATGTTCTTATCTGCTGGAAAGCAGTTTGTAGGATTGATTTGAATAAAACTGATGATGCAGCCTACTCAGATCAGTAGGAAATGACCTCTCTATTATAAAGTCCCAGAATAACATAGCAAAGCAATCTTGATTTCCTAAAATCTATCAAACGAAGAACTTCAGTTAGTTACAGCATATAATATGGATATTCCTGAAATGTCCTCTGCTTAATGAACAGCTGAAATTGGCTGACCTCGTGGAAATAAGAGAGAATTAGTACCAGCTGCAAAATGCATTCACTGGATAGTGAAACTGGCAGTTGGTATTATGCCTGCTATAAATATTTTTAATTAAAAATTGTTTTCTGTCTCTTCAATTGGTATAATAGCGATGATGCTTACTGAGAGTTACTGAAGATGTAATAGGATTCCCCTTCATGAACAGCACAGCTATTTCTTCTGCCGTAATTTTGCTATAGTGGAAATCTGCATAATAATGCCTGGATTCTAGTACAAGAGAAAAATAGACTGAGGGAGTGCTTTATCTGTGTGTTTCAGAATAACGCACAGGAGCATTGTTGCAAATTTCTACAGAAAAACCACGCTCAAACTCTGTTTGCTCAGGTACGACTTTTAACAACCTTTTTAGGGAAATTCCAGCTTCGTTCCACAGCCCCGCGGCACCATACACCTTTGAGAAAGGGCTTGGTCTTTGCAGGTTTCCAGGGAGCAGCACAGCAGATCCCCTTCTGCTCCGCGGTACAAGGGAACCTGCCCCTTTCCCCGTGCCTCCCCAGGCACCCACTACAGAGGGTGCAGGAGCGGTGCCAGCGGAGGGGACCCTGGGTGCTGCCCCAGCCCCGGGGCAGACCCGTGCCTCTGGGTGACGAGAGACACCCCTTCCCTTGGGGAGGCAAGAGCCGTCAGACCAGCTCTGCCCTGGCTGGCACAGCCTGTGTTAGGCGTTACCTAAACAGGACGGATACTGCGACAGCTGGAGAAACCGCCATTAGCTGTCCCTGCCGAGCCTTTGGGAATGTGTGACTGCTCTCCGCGTTGTGTGGGAGACTTTCTCAGGCAGACAGGAGCGATCGCTTTCTAATCCCCGCTTGACTCTCTTCCCCTCTGAGGCTTTGGACCAATACTCTGATTTTGGCATTTCCTCCTACCGCCTTCCTCAGGCCGCTGCCTTCCTCCTCCCCAGCTTCCGATACATCCACCCCTGACCGGCACTCACCTTCACCCTCCCATTTTTGTTCTCACGTGCGTCTCGGACGTCCTGGAGAAGCTTGCCATGGTGTGGTGTTTGTTTTCCGACAACTCCCAGACGCTCAAGTCAAGACAAAAGCCTCATTCGGTCAGTCACTGCATGAATACACAATTAGGCACATCCACTGCTCCAAAGACCTTTTGACCTAAACCTGCTGCTTTGATTTCATAATGACACTATTCCTGCCCCAATTTGGCTCTTGTCCCTTTCCTGTCCCCAGATCAACAGCAATTTTATTTCAAGCAAGCCTTTCCCCAGACAAAGATATTGTCTTTGTTACCCATTGGTTCTCCCTCCTTATCCTGGGCTCTTCCTTCTGCCACAAATTATCTTTGCTTTGCTTTTCCAGCTAGCCATTTCAGATGTTTTTATGGTTTGCAGTCCTCTCACTGTCCAGCTCCTTGTTCCTCTTAGGATTCAGCATGTGCTGTCCTCTGCTCTCTTTCAAAGGGAAGCCCTTGCTCTCACAAACTCAGCTATCCCTTAGCTAAGTTGAATTTATGACCGCCACTGTCCCCTCTTCTTTATCTTTTCATGCCTAACTTCACAAGTGTCTTCATGGTAGCTATGTCTGAAAGCTTTGCTATTGGGTGAGGGATATTCCTCTCTATTTCTTGCAGAATCTTCTTCCTGTCTTTGCAGTCTCAGAATGTGAACAGGTATCTGACTGTGTGGGTGCTTGTTTTTTTCCTAGATTTTAACCCCACTAACAGTGAAGGTGAGTTGTTATTCGTCTACCGTGTCCTTGTGGTAAGGTGTACATTTGTTATCTGGTGAAAAGATAGCTCAAAAGGACGGGGATTAGCATGTGGTCCTGTGACGATATGGTAAGTCTCACTTGATGAACACTGCCCCCCCGGGCATTTCCCCAGCTCTCCACAGAGAAGGCAGCAGCAGCAGCACTGTGGTGTGGTTCTTGCCTGATTGGGATTGCCATGGGTGCTGTCACCTTCACCTATCTGCACCTCGGCAGATCACTGGATTCGACAGCAAAGGCAAGAACAAAACGAAACCAGAGAAGTGACTTACACCACTGCCCGGAGAGAGAAAGGGAGAGGGAGGGGGGAAAGAGAAATAAAGACCACAATCCTGTCCGGCTGAGGGCACGGAGGTCATGTCAGCCAGATGGGGAATGAATGAAAACGGACTTTTCTGGAGATGGCTGGGCAAGGGGAGGGTTCTTTTTGATTATTTTAATCCTGCCAGGATACCTCCCAGTATCGGGTCACTCAAAGACATAATTTTGTGCCAATAATGAAAGAACTCTCTATTAACAGAAAAAGGACAACACATTTGTGATTATTTTCTCTCCATCCAGTCCAATTAAAAGGTATTGGTGGTCAGTCTGAGCTATATTTGAATCACTTGAGATGTTTCGCATCAAAGAGCTGATAATTTACAAGCCAGTCACACCAAGAGAAGCTCTCGCTTGCTCATATGCCTGTTTCCTGCCCTGCTGTAAACGAAAAGAATAAAGAACACCCTAAGCCAAGATAAATTTGAAATACAATTCTCCAGTTATTTGAATCAAAAGGCAGTATTGATTATTTAATTACGTAGAAATGATCCAGATGCTAAGCATTTACTACAGATTAATGACTGTCCCAGAGCAGTTAATGGCCTTTCTCGCTGCCATCAACACAAGCTTATTAATCCCTGGAAAATGGCTTGCATAACAATCATAACCTGCTGTTAAAAGTTTATAAATAGATAAAAGTGTCACATGGATTTATGAGTGCTGAGGCTGAATGGGATCTGTGTGGCATTTCCAGTGAATGAATGCCATGTGCATGAGCTCATCTGATTGCTTGAATTATCACAAAATCCCAAGTTGCTCTTTTGGATCGGAAAATGGCATGCAAGAGAGTGCCAAGTGGCTGGAGTCCTATCTACTGACTGGGAAATAATTACTTTGCTGCATAACAAAGAGGCACCTTCCTTCTAACAGCAGTGCTCTGCCCTTTTTATCATATAGCCTGAAATGCATGTAAGGGAGGCTGTGTGGCTGTGCCTTTGCTTTGTTTCTAAGAGGAAAAAAATGCTTGCACGTACACACACACAGAGCTCTGATCCAGGTCCGCCCAAAGCCCAGCGATGGGTTTAGCAGGCGTAGGGCTCAGCTGGGATCTGTATTGTTCAGGCAAAGGTCTTCAAAGGAGGCCTTCACACCTGGGTCTCTCCATCCCACACTGGGCTGTTACAGCAATGAACACGGGACGTGCTGCCAGCGAAAGCTGCTTTCAGAAAGCACGCTGCCCCTCAGTTCTGGCAGAGCCGGGAGGGCGTGCAGACCCCAGGAACCGGGGCAGCAGGGAATTGCAGCGGTGCTGTGTCCCACCGGCCGTGGGGCAGCTGTTCCCCACTGCCAGGGTGGCTTTCACACTGCCCCTTC